GCGACCGGAGACGCATACCTTCCACTTCGATTTCGGGGAGGCCACGATCACGCTCCAGGACGTCCAAGTACTATTTGGTCTCCCGGTTAATGGAGAGCCTTGTTGGGGAGTGACTAAAGATCGCACACCCCTAGAATGGCGAGACGCGTGTAAGTTCGAGCCCTATGTCCAGGTAATTTTTTTCCTACATTTTTTTTTTTAGTATACTACATTTATTCGCTTTTAATCTATATAAACCACTTTCAGAAAAAAGACGACCTGGCGCACGACCCCAAAACTTGGGCCATTAGAGGACAGTTTTTGAAGAACCCGGGGTTAGAAGAGGAGTGTATAAGAGAGCCACCAGATGGAGAACAAATCGAAGTCTACGAAAAGAGGGCGAGGGCCCTTATCCTCTGGTGCATTGGATCCTTCTTCTTCCCCGATCAGAGGGCTGGTGGAGTCAACCTATACTGATTGCAGATGTTGCACAACATCGATGAGATCAAGAAGTACAGCTGGGGTTCGGCGGTTCTGGCCGGGTTGTATAGAGCGCTGTGCACAACCTATCAGGCCGGGGAACAATGGATCAAAGGTTGTGTCCAATTACTTCAAGTATATTTACTTGTTATTTGAAAATTCATTTTTTTATTCTAATTTAGACTAATATATAATAACAAATGCTTATGTCGATATGTGTAGGGTTGGGCATGGGAACGTGTCCCTCATCTTCGCCCAAAAATGAAGAATACGAACTTTGAGAGAGTAACTGGTTGTCCCTTAGGTGGAAGGTAATCACATTTATTTATATTTAATACTTAGATTATTTCCATTATCAAATTTTGTGATTATAAAGTGTTTTTTTTCTGTCATTTTTAAGGTAGGTGGGACGAAGGGACACGAAACACATTGTCACGAGAACAACCGCTGTCCGGGATCAATTGACAGGGCTGAGAGAGACGGATGTAAGATTATAATTAAGTCCTATTGATTATTATTTATATTTGTTTTTGTTTTTAATTTTTTTTATAGCATAATTCCTAATTATATTTTTTTTTACAGTTCCATTGGGTGCCGTTCTGATACGCTCCCGGCCCAGTGTACTGAAAATTCATGCCTCTGGATGTATAAGGGGTGGTATTATGTTGAAACATCCGTGAACCGCACCTGTCGGATAGAGTCCTCCATCAGTTTTGGTGTTATCAGTCCATCCCCGACACTCCAATCATTACGGGTGAGGCCGACTGGGTGACACACCACCGAGGCCAGGGAATGACTGGGAAGGCATTTACCGATTGGGTCGACTTTCATTCCGAGCTTGGAAATGTTTGGGTTGAACAAACAGACCAAAATGTCCTCCCAGATTACCCTGTGGAGCTATTCATACAGCCTGGCGAGGGTTACCTTGATTGGTTTCACAGTACGACTGTGAGACTCATCAGGGACCCTGCCAAGTACCCGGTGGTCCAACAGGATGGCGGCTATCAGCCACTTGCAGAACACCAGAAGTGTGATGTAAGTGTTCATAATTTGTGGTTTTTTTATTATTATTATTTTTTATTTTTTTTGGTGTTTATTAGTAATTACTTTGAATTTAATTTTCAGGCTAACGCCATGGAGGGGGCTTATAACATGTTATTGAGTGTTGACCACCTATTTGATACAGTCCCTCCAGAGATGCAGGCCGCAATCCGATAGGCCAAGAGCCTTCTCAACACTTCTCTGACTGTCGGAGGTGGAGAGGTCGCACAACGGACGTCGTCGAGCCAAGTGCTATCTCAGGAGAGCTACGTCCGATCACAGAGGACGCAGTCACACCGGACGAGGCATCAACCCGCTGCCAACATTGATGGAGGTAGAAAACGCCGTTACCGCAAACCCGCTGCCAACACCGAGCCTGAGGAAGAAGAAGAAGGTGAGTATTTTTTACTTAACAAAAAAATAATTTTTTATTTATTTATTTATTTTTTGTCCAGTCGAATTTGTGATTTAAAAAAATGAATTACTCATGTGAAGAAGAAGAAAAAGCTGCCATGCCTATCACGACCACAGCCTCGTCTTCTTCACAACCACCACAGCGTCGGATGGGCTCCTGAAAGCGCATTCCTAGGAATCCATTCACTCATAGTTAGTATGTTGTGTATTCAGAAATTTTGTGGATTGAGATATGTTTTTTTTTATTTTATTGGATTCTGTGTACTGATATTTGGACATAATGAATAAATTATTGTGGTTGACTTTTTATATATAGTGTATGTATGTTAGATTATTCTTTGAAAAATGGATTGATATTAGTTTGTTGAATTAATATTTGGTTATGGAATCGATTCCGACGAACAGGTGTGTTTTTTTATTTTTTCTGCACAGTTACTGTTTCTGCACAGTAAAACGTATTCCTAAAATAAGTTTTATGGCAAAATTGATTTTAGGGCATGATATAGCCATATAAAGATATACCGACCCAAAGGCTTCCTACTCGACTGGATAGTGACTCAAACCGATTCGTCATGTCGACACGGACCCGTCGACATGTTGAAGTCGATTCCTCCAGGTCGACTTTTAACAAGGTCGATAACGAGAAGTGGCAGATGCCCTACAAGTCGACTCTTGGAAGTCGACATAGCTCAGTCGACTTCCCGAAAGTCGACATCTATCTGAGAAGACCAACAAGAGCGTAGCCTCCGAATAACCAAGAGATCCTGGGTCGACTCGTTTATACTCGAGGTCGACTCCTTGTACCTCGAGACGAGAGACATTCCGACGACTCCCTACACTTGGTATATTTCTTGGAACCTCTTGACCATTAATGGATAAGAAGAAATCTTGAGATGACTCAGTAGGGAGGGAAAACAAATCGACCGGGGCATTTTGGACCTTTTAGGTCCACCGACTTGGGCATTTCGGGTACTTCAAGTAAGTATTCACTCCTATATAAAGGAGATGAGGTAACCCTAAACCCTAACTCTCATTCATTCCACACTCCCCTCATAGCTGCTGCGTAGCATCCCTTCATCATTCTCCTACTGACTTGAGCGTCGTAGGCTCTACGCCGGAAACACCTCCGGCGTTGAGTTGTTGCAGGTATTCTCGCGGTCTAGCAACGATTCAGAGGCGGTTCAAGCAGATCTGAGCTCAAATCCACCGGTTCTCTTCAGATCTAGAAGTAGACCCATCAGGGCAAATGTAAAACGTATTTCGAAAATATGTTTTATTAAAAATCGATTTTAGGGCGAAATTGATTTTAGGGTAAAATTAGGGTAAATAGAAAACGTATTTCAAAAATATGTTTTATTGTTTTTTTAAAAATTAATTTCTGCAATAAGAAAATAAAAAATTAATTTTATTAATAAATGTATGTTGGAAATACGTTTTATATTTATTTTCTACAATAAGTAATATATAAAATTAAGTTCATTACTAAAACGTATTTCAAAAATAGGGTTTTTATTATTTTATATAAAAAACGCAATTTTTAAATACGTTTTAAGTTTATTAAATTAAGTTAATTACGTAATTAATTTAATTGACATTAAAACGTATTTTAAAAATACGTCTTACATGTAAAACGTATTCTACAAATACGTTTTAAAATTTAAAACATATTTTTGTAATACGTGCTTTTGATTTTTGTCCATCCCTTTGTTTTTGTTTTTGTCCACTTATTTTATTTTTTAAATAAATAAATAATTCAGCTGCAAGTTGTCTTTACAAAAAAATAAATAATTAATATATGCCATAATATAAAACAATTGAAACTTTAAAAATTGGATGTCCCATACATGCGAAATGACTGTTTGGATCCTGGTCAACTCTAATTTCCGCGATGAGTGATCACTACAACAAATTGATGAAATTTCAATAGAAAGTTCCAATACTAATATATTTTAATGGAATTCCAACGGAAATTCCAAAAAAATATTCCGTTGTAATGAATTTTCCACTTAAATTTCCGTTGAATTTTGACGATTCCAACGGTAGATTTTCCAACGAAGGTGGAAACAAAAATTCCAATAGAAATTGCATATTTCAACAGAAATTCCTACGGTAAAAAACTGTTGGAAAAATAGCCGTTTGAATCATTATTCAATCTAAAATTCCAATGAAAAAGTCATTCCAACGCAATATTTTCGTTGGAATTATTCCAACGAAAGCTATACCAATAGAATATCCGTTGGAATTTCTTACCGTAGGATTTTTTTTTATTTTTTTTGGTACAAACCGTAGGATTTTTCGTTAGAATATAACAATTTTTTTTGTAGTGGATGTTTGATATGTCACTAGGAAAAAATTGATGTTTTAGACGTAACTGGTAAATATTAATAAAAGCAATATTCAATTTAATCTTATAAATCAAGTGTTGTGTGAAATAATTTGACTAAAAGTGAAAATTGAGAATAGAGTATGAAAATTAAATTGTGAGAAAGCACGTAAAATCTGTATCTTTAAATATTTCATTCCCAATTCACATTATGATATGCATGAGCTCATATAATGCTTCGTCCTGCAAAAACATTTCAAGGCCAGGGGCGGATGCACGTTGTGGCTAGGGGGGGCAATTGCCCCCCCAAATATTTAAGTTTTTGTAATATATATATACCAGTACGACACCCGTGTACTACACGGGTTGTTTGAAAAAAAATATAAAACATAAAATAATAGAAAAAACACATGTTGTCATATAAAAGTACAAAAATAGAAAATAACAAAGTCGATATTATTTCAAATTTTGAAAAATTTCTTTGTACACAACATTAATAGTTTTAGTACAATCCGACGTTAGACAACCGGCTCATCTTTTTTGGCCTTCCAGAAGTCAACCATTTGAATAGCAATGGTTCCACAGTGTACATTCCATAATTTCTCCACGTCATGAACATCTCGTTCATACTTAACGACTTCATCAATTTTGATGACCTCGGCAATGATATCTATGTTTAAATCAAATAACAAAAGTAAATATATTTTAATTATATTAGGATGTAAAAAAATTAATAGATGTTAAAATAAAATTGCATACCACATCAGGATTTCGTGTAGTCAGAGTTTCCCCTCAATTCGCTAAATTCTACGAAATTGAACATAAGGGATATCTCGAGATTCGTTTGTAATCACCTTTGTTATCTTGTATCTCGAATTTGTCATTATGTAAAATGACCCATCTTTTACAACAACTTCATATTTCGAAAAATCATGAAAATGCTGAACCCTGCACTGCGTGGATTCCAATGTATAAATTATAATCAAAATTTAATCGCAACGCAAGCAATAAACATATGAACATTTGGAAAACAGAACAACGATCAAATGGACTAAAAACCACGAAAAAAGAACAAAGAAAATTGGATTTAAATTTGAATGATACGAACCCGTACATGCGATGAACAACCTCGACAAACTTCGGCACGGGGTCAGAACCCTCCCCCTCCTGTTCCGATGCTGATTCCAGTGGCATAAAGGCGTAGGTCAAATTAGGTGCAGAAAACTATGCAATGAAGAAGAAGCAATCGACATTCATACTGTTGGAGAAAACATTGGCAACTCACATTAGGTGCAGCCCATGAAAAGAAAAATGAAGGTAACTAGTGTCATGACTTTCTGTTCTATCCAAGCAATCGAGCGTGGCTATGGGACCACATACGGGAGCATCTTGACGGCACCCTTCAGACTTATCAAATTAATATTTGTATTAATTGTATTTTAATATCATATTATAACTATTGAATTCCAAATATATTTTAAAAGTTGATAACTTTTGTATTTGTTTTACATATATAATATATAAAATTAATCATCTTTTTATTAGCTACGATTTGACATCCATATTGTATATATAAAATAAATGAATTATATTTATCTTTTATAATAATAATAAAATTATGACGGCACCCTTCAGACTTATCCCCTCCGAACAACACCTTGTTGAGGCCAGCATTACCTTTGACTCGTTTTGCTTTTCATTGAACAACTTTAAGAATACCTTGTTGAGGCCAGCATTACCTTTGACTCATTTTGCTTTTCATTGAACAACTTTATGAATATCTGCCGATGTTTTTGGTCGAGCTTCCCTTGCATCTGCAAAATCTCTTTTCCCTCGGCCCACCAGAAGCTCGGCCCACCAGTAAGATTTCTTTCAGCTGATCCTTTATGAGCTCGAGCAGTTGGATGTACTGGCTGAATATTAGCACCTTCTCCTTCATGGCTATGCTGAGTCGAAAAAACTCGAGGATGAATTTCGTTCCATAAGTCCAATGGGGAGAAATAGCAAAGGATTGAAAAGAGTAAACCAAAATCCAAACATATCATAACGAAGTCATTAGCAAAAAAGCACACTGAATTAAAAACACTAATATCTTAAGGTTAATGCACATAAACAAATTGATTTCATTAATCGGTCGAAAGTTTCGTCAAGAGCACTTTGTATATATCCGGCTACCAATTGTGAAAAACCCCATTACCACTAGAAAAATGAAAGTGAGAAAAATCCTTACCAGGAGATTCGTGAATGACTAATTTTGTAGTCGTGAAGAGGCCCGCCATGGTGCGGCTTTGGAGGGCCAATTTCCATGGGTCTGGTATTAAGAAGATTTACATACAGTCATGATCCTAAGATTTATTTTCACTTGCCAATCCATCATATTCAAAATTGAGCAGATTATTCCCAAAAACGATGAGCCATTAGCGGATCTGAAGAACTCTCAAGCCACAAACGATCCAAACTCAAAAGAACAAAAAAAATCGCCCCATAGCAAGTCAACAACGCAGATAAAACAGAGCAAAAAATTAAAAAATAAATAAATAATAAACTCACACTCTGTGTTTAAATCAATGGCCTTAAAAGTGGCACCAAGCTTGGTCAACAAATCTTTCACCGACACGCAAAACGGACAGTAAGTCTTGCTGCCACCATAAAAGATAAAAAAAAAATAATAAACAGATCCATATGAAATCACATTCACAGCAGCTTCATAAAATTCCACGAAGCAGCGAAGAGGACAGGTAAGAAGTCGGTGAGCCGCGTATCAGCGAAGTGAACGAAAGGGGATGAGCCGAACGGCTCAGGGAACGGGGAGATAGGCGAAGAAGCTAATCAGATGGCCGCCCAAATCGCTTCAGTCTTCACTGCTTACTACCATCTGTTAAGAATCAGCCCGTATTGTTCAGTACCATCCTTAATTGGATGTTTTTCTAAAGGGATATGATTAAGAAATCCGATTAATACACGGCAAAGAATTGGGGGAAAAATAATATATTATAATATTAAGTTATTTATTAGCACAAAGAATCCTATTCATATAAAAATACACTGCCAAGAATCCTGTTCAAATAAGAAAACACGGCAAAGAAGAAAAGAATATAATTGTATTAATTATTTTTATCCGAACCAAAAATTGAAGCATATAATGTTGCCAAGTAAGCTTCCGAAGCGTGCGAGCCAACCATTTAGGCTCAGCACGTTTTCAAATTATATTAAAAGGGGATTCGCCAACTCAATTCAACTCAATTTAATAATTAAATATTATTACTCTCTTCACCTTTACATTCAACTTAAAAGCCAGTTTATTGTTATTTTCAACTCAACTCAACTTAAATATTTAGTTTATTTTTAACTTATTTAAAAATTACAATTATAATCCAAAACATATCAAAAGTGGTTAGTCTTTATTTGTAGAGCATGAAAAAAAACAAATTTTAGTGCTTTTTTTTTCAACCAGAAAAATACATTTATCCAAAAACAACAGAACAAGTATCTCATTTTCACAAAGAATACGGGTCAAGACTCAACGTCACCTCGCCCTGGTTCGCTTCGCTAATTGATGACTTTTTTCTTTTTTCGATATTTCTTATTTATTTTTTCCTTATTTCCTTTGATCCATTGATTGGGTCACCGATGACCTAATAAGGCTTTTGACTACTAAAATAGAAAAATATTTCTAACCTTTGAAAATGTTCTCCACTCGCACACAAGGTTATTATTCAACTAATAGTAGTACGATATTGTATATTACACATATGTTAATTAAAAGCTTAATTCTTAAAATATAAAATAAATTAAAGTTTTTATCTTATATTTTTATGCACTTATTAAACCTCACACATTATTATTTATGTAATTTAAATTTATTTATTTTTGCCCCTAGTCAAAATCCTGCATCCAATTCTTCTATATATATACAAGACTATCTGCGCTTTGGTATATATCAAGGAAATACAAATCTACCCCTAAATAAGAGAAATTAAAAATGAGAGCTCAAAGAGTATATGTTGTTGTTGGACCCTTGTTTTAAATGTAGATTGGTAAAATAATAATTGAAATTTCTTGGGTGTTTTATTAGCCATTTTAAATGTAGATTGGTGATTAGTGTTTTTGTGGTGTTTTATGTATTAATTGACAATTTTATGTTGTTGGAGTAAAAATATAATTAATTATATGTTGTTGTTGGAAATGAGTTTTAAATGTAGATTGGTAAAATACCACATTGAAATTTTCTTGGGTGTTTGATTAGCCATTTAAAATGTAGATTGGTAAAATAATTGAAATTTTAAATGTAGATTGGTAAAATAATAATTGAAATTTTCTCGTGATGTTTGATTAGCCATTTTATGCTGTTGTAATTTTGTAAAATATAAATTTTTTTTTGTGCAACAGGTTAAAATGTCGTCTAACGGTCCATACTTTGTTAATGTGTACTGGAAATTTCCCCAGAGTGAGTTATGGAATTTTTCGAATTATATGTCTCGTCTGGATTGTTCATTTGTTATTAATGGAATAATATCATATGGACAATTGGTAGATATGATTTTCGAAAATGGTGGGTTTCGTGATAGTTGGACAATTTCGGTTATTACTTTGATGGCGAGACAACTGGATGGTTCGTTTATTACCAGAAGACTGCATAATGATAATTCTCTTTCGTGGATTTTCTACTCTCCTCCGGGGTCCTATGTGTTTTTGCATATAGTGTTGGAAGCAAACACACAGGTTACACAGGTTGAGGATCCTACGCCATCATATGGTTACGAGGGAATGTTTGGTGGTGAGGATACGTGGACTACGCATGCCGGTACCTTTGGTGAAGGGACGAGTAATTTCGATGAAGGGACGAGTAATTTCGGCGAAGGAACGAGCTTTACCATGAGAGGACCGGACATTGAGGAAGAAATTATTGGAGATGAAGATTTCATTCCCGGTGAAGACGATTTCACGGATGAGACCTCGGAAACCGAATCGGACAGATCAATTAATGAGGAGAGCGAACAAGAATTCATTGAAGAACAACCCTTTCCAAATGAAGGCCTCTACGATTATCGCGAGATGGGTGAGTGGGACTCGTCGTGTGTAGACAGGGACGAGTATGCCTTGCCAACCTGGAATGGGCGTGTCGAGACTATCCGATTGGGTACAGTTTTTCATACCAAGGAAGAAGCCCAGATTGGTATTAATGCCTGGAATGTCGAGAAACTTAGGGCGGTCCGGACAAAAGATTCCAACAAGAAGTCGTTTAAAGTTGTGTGCAGATCAGATGAAGTTGTACCATGTATATGAAAGGCCCGGGTGAGTCTTAACAAACGGGATCACGGCAAGTGGGAGGTAACCGAATGGACCGATAGCCACACTTGCATGCAGGTGTTCGAGAGAAATGACCACAAGAATGTGACCGCCACCATGATTTCAAATCATTTGTTGGCTAAGATTCAGAAGCAGGTGACCTACAGTGTGGAAATGGTCCAGACCGACGTAAAAAGTGCCTGGGGCGTCGATGTCAGCTACAAAAAGGCGTGGCACGGGAGAATTTTGGTGAACATTGGTTTGATTGTGAATATGGTTGGTTCGATTGTGAATATTGTGGTCGATTATGAATTTTGGTGAACATTGTGCTCGATTATGAATTTTGGTGAATATTGTGCTCGATTATGAATATAGTTGGTTCGATTTTGTATATTGTGCTCGATTATGAATATAGTTGGTTCGATTTTGAATATTGTGCTTGATTATGAATATAGTTGGTTCGATTTTGTATATTGTGCTCGATTATGAATATAGTTGGTTCGATTTTGAATATTGTGCTCGATTATGAATATAGTTGGTTCGATTTTGTATATTGTGCTCGATTGTGAATATAGTTGGTTCGAACTAAATGAGCGTTCGCGAACAAAATATACTATTGCAGAAAATTAAATCTCGGTCATTTTTGCAGAAAATGACATCGTCATCCTCGAACCCTCGACCCTACACCCCACACCCCGGCCCCAATGATCCGTCACTTCTATATCTTCAGAACCGCCACCGGTCCAAGGCGGTATATGAGGACGCACCGGGGTTTCGCCACGGCGTGGTTAAGCCACGCCGTGCGGACACCCAGTTCTGGGCTGCCTTGGAGGGCAACAAGCAGAATGCCCGGACCTGGGAGGTGATCGACAAGGCCGGCTTCGGGCCTGTGTTTCGGATGGGTGGGTCCCGACAAACAACGGCCTCATTACATGCCTGCTGGAGAGGTGGCGTCCGGAGACGCACACCTTCCACTTCGACTTTGGGGAGGCCACGATCACTCTCCAGGACGTTCAGATACTGTTTGGCCTCCCCATCAACGGGGAACCGTGCTGGGGACATACCGTACAGAGAACTCCCCAAGAGTGGAGAGCCGTTTGCGCGAACGCTCTAGGGTACCTCCCATATGTACAGGTATATTTTTACCTAAAACTTTTATTTGCTTTTTTTTTTTTTATTGTGTTTATGTATACTTAAGTCATGAGTCGTTTTTAATATATATATGTAAACGTATTTCAAGAATGACGGGGACCAGGACTACGACCCCAAGACTTGGGACATTTCAGGCCAGTTCCTGTTTTTCAGTAGTCTAGAAGACGAGTGCAA